GGATGGGGGATACTTAAGCTGAATCAATAGATTTCCTGAATGGGCACATCGTATAATGTAACCAGTCAATGTTAAACCTACTTACTCAAATTAAATGTTTAATTTAACAAATAAATACAGGAAATGGGGGCAGTATGTGACATGATAACTTTTCATTTTTCTTTCCCGCTATATCCATAAAAAAAATTTCTCTTCATCTTATTTGCACTTTTTGTAACTAGAAATTTCAAAAAAAAAGGCAACAGTACAGCTAAGTAAGAAAATAACCAAAAGACAAACCCAAAAAGTTCTGCTAATTTTTTCTTTTCTTTTTGGGTGCAAGTCAAGACAACTATTAGAAAATGTTCAAGAAATTAAGAAAATATATATTATTGGTACTTGATAGCACATGTGGATGCAAGGTATTGGTACCGGATTCAATTGAACCTAGTACTTTTAGTGCGTAACGTAAATTTATGTGTAAAAATTCATTAATATTGCAACATATAGCAATATGAACCCTTATCATTAAAAATACAATGGGTTTAATGCTAATATTAAATCCATAAAACTTAAATCCTAAATCTGTCTAACCTCGATAGAATACTGCTCTGTAAGGGTACGGCAAAGTTCATGGTACACAACACCTACTATTATATTGACCATGATTTCACTTCGTTTGTTTCTTTGTAATTTTCCAAGTAAGTTGTCTACAAACACCAGATCTCATAATAAATGTGCGTAAATATAGTTTATATACGTAAATATTCAAAATATTACGTGTCGAACAGATAAAACTTCACTATATTTTGAGCTTGCAGCTTTGTTTGGCGGCTGACCGTTAGGGAGGCCCTGCACTTATCCTAATTAAGTACAAATTTTATCTTAATTGTTCAATAGTGTTCGATTGATAACAGTCACAATCAACTTAACTTGATTTCTCTGATAAATGTTCTAATATTTTTAGGACTTGACATAAAAAGAACGAAAATAATTTTTTTTGTTCTTTGGATTATTTTCATATTTCAAAGTTCAAACACATAAAGTAAAGAGGATATTAATTGTTTCCTTTATCTAATATTTAATGAGATTATAGATTGATAACCTACCTAATTTCATGCCATCTAGTCCCCCCCCCCCCCTATGGCTGTTCTACTACCTATATAGCTATAGGTGATTAACTGATTATAATAACTATTCAGATGCAACATTAAATTCTTTACGTGAAGTATTAATTTTCTGACGGGTAAAATTGATTACTTGGTCGAAAATCTTTTGCTTGGATTTAAGAGTTACAAATATTTTCTCTTTTTCTTTCCTGTAGGTTTATAAGCTAAGGATTTAAGAAGAGTTAAGGCTTGTGTAAAGGTCAATTCTTGACAAAATCATCTTGCGAAAGACAGCCATCGGTTATGTAATGTGATAAGATAATTATAAGGTTCTATATGATGATTTACAAAACGTGGGATAGCGTTTGGAAGTAGAAAAAAAAGTTTTTTATTTTATTTTTAAAAAGGACCTAGCAAATTTATTACTATACTACTTATTAGTAGTAAAAAGGAAATATTAATTTTTGACAATACTTTCCTCTTAATTTCCGGGATCCATAATTACGAGCGAGAAAGTAGTGCTTTACACCCTAATGATTTGTTAATGACTGACTTAGCTGAAAAAGAGAGAAAGAGTAAAGAGGGGTGGGCGTAGTTGTGCATTTTTGAAAGTTGATGATGTTTTTTGAATCATTAAAAACTTCAGCGGGGAGAAAAAGAATATTCCCTCCGTTCCAGTTTATGTGAACCTATTTCCTTTTTGGTCCGTTAAAAAAAGAATGACCCCTTTCTAAATTTGGAAACAATTTAGCTTAAACTTACAATTCTACCCTTAATGAGAAGCTTTTATAACCACACAAATACTCTGGGCCCCTTTTTAACTTGTTTAGGACCACAAATTGCAAAAGTCTTCATTTTTTCTTAAACTCCGTGCCAGTGAAACAGGTTCACATAAATTGAAACGGAGGGAGTAGTATATATAATAAAAGGATAAATTAACTTTTATAGCCTGTTTGGCCAAGCTTCTCCAAGGCAAAAAAACTTTTTTTTTTCAAGTTGAGGCATTTGCCCAAGCTTTTGGAAGAAAAAAATATTTTTAAGCAGAAGCAATTTTTGAGAAGCAGAAAAAAGTAGTTTTTCTCCGAAAGTACTTATTTGAAAAGCATTTTTGAGAAAAATACATTTGAGAAACACCTTTTAAAGGCTTAGCCAAACACTAATTGCTACTGAAAAGTCTTTTTCAAATTAATTTATCAAAACACAAACATCTTCTCACCAAAAATATTTAAAAAAAAGTATTTCTCAAAATAAACTGATTTTAGAAGCTTGACCAAACATGCTATTAACCATTTTCTAATGAAATTCGAGAGTATATAATACAATATCAATATGGCAGATCTGGACCAATTCAATTTCCTATATACACTTGAACAATGATTTAATATGCAATAATTTCCTTGCAAATTACCTCTTTCGCAAGAATTAGGAAGTCAAACACCCTCGATGTCCTCAAAGAAGCTTCTATAGACTTATTATTTTTATAATAAAAACTATATTCAAGTCCCCCATTTTTGATTTGACTATTCCCTATTCCCGCTTAGATCAGGTCTTCCAAACGGACCCTAATAAATAAGCTCATTCTACCTCTCTTTTTCTTTACACACACAAAACATACAATCCCACAACCAAAGGTCAATATCCACTCCAAAAATACACATTCATATTCTCCATACCCAAAAATTTCCCTTTTGTATTATTCTGGTTTTTTTTATTTCTAAAATGGTTAATCCATTTATTTGTGGATCTTTTCATCATCAAGATGAAGATGATACGGAAAATTTAAGCCCTTGTTCAACTCCAAAAAGATCAAAAAAGAACTTGTCAAGAACAAGGTCTAGTAACAAGAATAACCCTTATTCAGACCGAGGTCTTGACAAATTCTCAGCACTTTTAGCTGATCTTGAAGACAAGAAACAGAGGATTTATTCACAAATTGGCCCTGATGATATCTCTTTCGTTCGTTTCGTCTTTTCGAATTCCAATGATGTCAAGCCCATTGTTGTTAAGTTGAAGGACAAGAAGCAGACAACAAATGATGACGAGAGCAAGCAAACCACTGAAAAAATACAATCTCAGGCGACTAGCGAAGCAAATGAAGGAAAAGAATTGCAAGTTGATTCCAAGAGAAGGCTAAAGAAGAGCATTTCTTGGAAATTCAAGTGGGAAAATTTGAAGAAACCTTTGTTTTATTTGCCAATGACTATAATATTGATATTGGTTTTTTTGGCTATATATGGAAGGTCATTTGCAATAATGTGTACTTCAATTGGATGGTACATGATTCCTACAATTAGAGGTGGAAACTCAAGTTCAAGCACAAAGACAAAAAGGCCAAAAAAGAAGAAGGAATATGTAAGAAGATTTAGTGAGAAAACTGTTGCAAGTGAAAGACCAACTTCTCCAACAAGTGTTATGAATGGACCAACTGGTAAACATGGCCGTAGGACAAGTTGGTCATAGTGAAGATCATAATTTTCTTGATCTTGTGAATTCTCTCTTCTTTACTTTTCTGAATTTGATCAGATTTTTTTTTTTTTTTTTGGTCTTTTCTCTTTCTTGGGCTTATGCATTGTAAATTCTTTTGTTGATTTTGTAAATGTTCTCATGTTTGAGTTAGACTAGAAATTTAGTCACTCTTTGGCATGTTCCTTTAGATTAGGACTATGTTTTTGTTACCAAGTTATGCTGGTTCATCCAACTTGAAATTGTACTGTTTTTTTAGAGTTAAAAGAAAATCGTAGATTTTTCTCTTTTAGTTTCTCACTTAGGCCGATTTTTGATATCTCTCATATTGAAAAATTAAAAGTTAGATGTCTTAGTAACTGGTTCCTCTCTTGAACCCTAAATCAGCTCATTTTAGGATTTTCAGTTCTCTCCAAGAAAAGGACTTTCCATTGTTCATAATAATATTAATATTCGAGCCAGCTTGCGTGCACTTCAATTATTTCTGAATTTTGTCTCTATTGCAATTTTAATCCTTATTCATTGTTTTTACTCACTTTGTTGATCACTAGGCGACATCCTTAGGAGCAATAAAGAATGTTTTAATTGAGAATAGTGTTTGCTCAAAAGTTATCATGTGCTTTATGAGTGCAAAACAATACAAATAAGTTACGGGAAAATCATAGCAAATCGTAATAATCCATTGGACCAAGCGAAGAACATGAAAATAAGTACTCAAGGTTAGGAGAAGAAATCTTAACAACTTTTATTGATAATATTGGTTTGGTCTGCCTCTCCATGAAGAGGTTCAGAGCCTTACAATGGTGTTTTCTCTTCCCATAAGATGGGTATATTTTTCTCTTCTCTCTCTCTTTTGTCAATAGTGGTGAAGAAGCAGCCCCCTTTCTAGGGCTTTCACTCTTAGTATTTATAGATGTGAGCTTCGTGAGCTGGCAATAAATGGTCGTGGCCACGTTGAGGTTCCGTCCCCATGGGGGAATGAATGGGCCGTGCCCTCGTAGATTAAATCGGACAAGAGTCGAATCCTCTTATGAATAAGTGGCCATACCACTTGTTAATTATGGATTAGCTCAAGACGAGATTAACTCCGTTAATTACCGTGAGATCGGATTCTGACCCATACAGTTAGTCCCTCCGCTTATTGAGGTCGTGTTTCGGCCGAGCTCGATGAGCGGACTTCATCGATTGTGATTTGAAAAAACTCGAATAAGGGGGTCGACTTATTGACGGCGGTGGCCTTAGCCGTTTACATGTTGGAGATGGCCGTAGCCTTTCATATATTGGAGAGCCTTTCATACATTAGAGATGGCCGTAGCCTTTCATATATTGGGGATGGCCGTAGCCTTTCATATATTGGAGAGCCTTTCATACATTAGAGATGGCCGTAGCCTTTCATATATTAGGGATGGCCGTAGCCTTTCATATATTGGAGAGCCTTTCATATATTAGATATGGCCGTAGCCTTTCATATATTGGGGATGGCCGTAGGCAATGAGTATGCGCCGGGTACATATTTGGTCACGTCCAGAATTTTGAAGGTGTACGGCACATTCTTTCAGCGTTCGCAGGGCGTTGCGATTGTTCTGACGACGGGACGTTGGTGGATGGCTGAGAAGCCGCTTCGTGGAGCTTGTCATAATGACGCATGCTTCGGCAGAACCGAACCGTTTTACGGTTGGTCGTGCAGTTAACGATGGCTATTTGGTTTCGTAAAAGCCATTTATGTTGCCTATAAAGGTCGGTTGAGGCATTCATTTCTCATATCTTCATTGTTCATCTGAGAGAGATTCTGAGGTAACTTTTTCATTCTGCTAATTCATCTTCTCCTTTCTTTCCTTTGATTGTGATAACCTTTGTCTTGCCCACCGAATTCTATCCCTTTCTCTTTAGTAGATCAACAATGGCAGGCAGTTCTTCCCACGATGCTCTTCTGATAGATTTTCCGGTAGTTGAAGGGCCACCTCCGGCAATGGGAGGTGCAGAACAGATAGAGACCGGAGAAGTTCCGTCGGTTGACGAGGTAGTTCCTCGGCCCGGAGGTCTGGTGATTGATTTCACTGTCGACGGTGGAGAGGAGGTGGCGTGAACAAAAGAAAGCGGCCACTTTCACCAAAATGGCGAAGAAGTATAAAGAGGTTCGTGCCAAGCATCAGGCGTTGGCAGACATGCTTAAGCAGGACCCCCAGTTCCGGACGTTCCGTGAGGGCCTTGAGGAATCAGAGGCTCTTTTGAAGAAGAGAACGGCTGAGCTGAAGGAGATTGATGAGCAGCCGATGGCTGCTTTGGCTCGAAATATCGAGCTGGAAACCCTCCTTCAGTCAAAAGAGGAGGACTTGGAGATAAGCCGTGGGGTGGCGGCGGAGGTTGCGGAACTGCGGAACTGCGGGCCCAGGTCACGGCCCTTACAACTGAGCTTGATGCTAGGATGGCCGAAGTTGAGGTTCTCAGGCGAACTGCCTCACAGGATGCCGTGCATCGTGAGGCGCACGAGATGTGGGTGTATCATGACGCCAGGTTGGTCGTTTTTTAGGAGTTTTTGGCGGCAGGTCGAGCTTCCGAGGCGGAAGTTGAAAGGCAACGACACTTGACCCGTGTTGCTCGTGAAGCGGCCGGTTATGGCTCCGACTCGCCTGGTAGGGAGGGCTGTAATTCTGAGGACGTCAACCGTTTGGACTCCAGCTCGTGGATTTCCAAGGCTTATCAGTCTGGAGATGGCAACGGACTGGACGGCGACCCGGCGGGTCGTGACGGGAGGGGTGGTGAAGGCTCTTAGGGCTTGTATGTATATATATTTCTTGTGTAGATGGGGCCTTTTCTAAGGCCAGTTATATGTATATCTTTTGGAGATAAATGAAATATGACTTCTGTTTCCCCCCTTTTTTTTGTGTCACTGTTTCTCTTTCGTTCTTTAGAGCTTTTGTTGCGCTTTTTGTTGACCGTCGGCGTTGGCGGCCCTAGTCGAATTTAGATCGACGACTTTAGTCGTGATGGAATCGACGGCCTTAGCCATAAAGGCAACTTCGACTGTCGTCGAGTCGTTTACCCACCGCAGTCGAATCTAGGTCGACCGCTGGCGGCGATGGCCTTAGCCATAATATAGTTGGTGGCCTTAGCCATGTAGGCGACTTCGACTGTCGTCGAGTCGTTTACTCACCGTAGTCGAATCTAGGTCGACCGTTGGCGGCGATGGCCTTAGCCATAATATAATTGATGGCCTTAGCCATGTAGGCGACTTCGACTGTCGTTGAGTCGTTTACTCACCGTAGTCGAATCTAGGTCGACCGTTGGCAGCGATGGCCTTAGCCATGTGGGCGACTTTCGACTGTCGTCGAGTCGTTTACTCACCGTAGTCGAATCTAGGTCGACCGTTGGCGGCGATGGCCTTAGCTATAATATAATTGATGGCCTTACTTTTTCAACTCGGTGCGGGCGAGTCTTAGCGGAAACCAGAGCGACAATTGCTCCTTTTTGTAGAATGGTTACCTCTCGAATTACCTACAAAACATAAAACACGATGTACGTGAATATATATGGGGTTATTGAAAAAATTTAAACATGATGCAAATTCCCTTCGGACCATGAGAGTTATCTTTGGACAATGAGGATGATGTCCTTAGATTATGATGTCCTGGACCATGAGGCGTATGATAAGGGATTCGCAGGACATGAAATGATGTCCTTGGTCCATAAGGATGGTGCCTCTAGACTATGACACCTTTGAATAATGATATGCAATTTCGAGAGATCCTCAGGCATGGAATAGTGTCTGTAGACTATGAGGATGATGCCCTCATACTATGACGCCTTCAGACAATGTGGCGATGTTTCAGCCCATGAAATGAAAAGATACGGTGATATCAGTTGTTTGATAGAGGAAATAGGTAATGTTTAGTCATATGCGAGAGCGAGAAAAGACAAGGCTTAGTCTTGTATGAGATGAGGGCATTGCTTAGCCCGATGCAAGAAGTGGAGACAATGCTTACTCTCATGCAAGAAAAGGCAGTGCTTATCCTTATGAGATAATGGAGACAGTGTTTAGCCTCATACAAGGAACGGAGACAATGCTTAATCTCATGCAAGGGAAGGCAATTCTTAGCTTTATGTAATAATAGAGGCAGTGCTTAGCCTCATGCAAGGAATAGAGGCAATGCTTAGTCTCATGCAAGGAAAGGTTGTGCTTAGTCTCATTCAAGAAAAGGCAGTGCTTCGCCTTATGCAGTATGGAGGCAGTGCTTAGCCTCATGCAAGGAATGAAGACAGTGTTTAGTATCATGCAAGGAAATGCGGTGCTTTGCCTTATGCAGTATGTAGAGGGCACTGTTTATCCCTATGCAAGGAGTGGAGACAATGCTTAGTCTCATACAAGGAAAGGCAGTGCTTTGCCTTATGAAGTATGTGTCACACCTCCTTTTTACTACCCCGAAAGGGTGTAAGGGAGTTTGTCCAATTAAAGTGACAATCGAAACGGGATTATTTATTAGATTCAGAGTCGCCACTTGGAATAATTTATGGTGTCCCAAGTCACCAGTTTAGAATCCCGAATCGAGGAAAGATTTGACTCTATTTAAGTCTGCGAACACAGAAATCCGGATAAGGAATTCCGTTAATCCGGGAGAAGGTGTTAGGCACTCCCGAGTTCCGTGGTTTTAGCACGGTCACTTTGATCATACTTGGCTTAATCAAATTGTTTAATTACTGATTTTAGAACCTATGTGAATTTACCTTTTAATGCTTTTTAAATTAAGAAAATTATCTTGAAATGGGTCACACGTACGTGTACCCATTTGTTTGGTGCGTCAAAAGTCATGTCACGCGAACGTGTTCACAATTAATAACGCTTTATTATTATTAAGAGAATTTGGCCGAAGTTGAGCGAACGCATACTCCGGTTTTGTTTTTAGAAATCGTAATCATGTCACGCGAACGTGTCCACAACCACGATAGTATATTAAACGTGCCTAAAGCAAACTACGAACATTTATCATTTTTATATCTATGTTATGACATTAATACGAGGCCCATGTATGATTAAACGGTGGATGGCGCACCTCGGACTATATGAACTAAATTTAATTAGTAGCTTATGAAAAATCCATTTTATTATTAAGAAAGTTTGTTCGAAGTTGCGCAAACGCATACTCCGGATTGGTTTTTAGAATTGCAATCATGTCACGCGAACGTGTACACAATCACAATAGTATTTTACGCGCCTAAAGGCCTTTCTACGAATATTTGTCCTAATGTCTAATCATAACATGTGAGGGCCATAGATTAATTTTGATGGCACACCTCAATCTAATTTTAAAAAGGACTGATGAATTAATAAAAGACTTAAAGGAATTTGAATTTATTTTAGGCTAATGTTCAAACTAAACTTAATAATTAGAAGGGTTAGGATTGAAATAAATCAAGTATTTGGCTGAAAGATCCTGGGCTGGCAGCTGGCCCAATGGTCTATTAAAGGCTTCCATATCATAATACGAAGGAAGACTGGGCTCTCACGAAGCCCAGAATGCATGCATAATCGGCAAAAGGGGGCATTTGGCATAACTGGGCCAACGACAAAGGCCCAGTTATGATTCATTACAATTAATTGAAGCAAATTACCATTCTTCATGAAGATCTTGAGATTAAAACAGATACTGACNGGGTAGCCTGAGTCCCGGTTCAACCGTAGTTGAACTTTTTTGGTGAAGGCGCATAGTCTGTCTTGGTTCAACCGTAGTTGAACTTGCTGGCGAAGGCGCATAGCCTTGATTTAATGACGAAGGCGCTTAGCCTGAGTCTTGGTTCAACCGTAGTTGAACTTACTGGCGAAGGCGCATAGCCTGAATCTTGGTTCAACCGTAGTTGAACTTACTGGCGAAGGCGCATAGCCTGAATCCCAGTTCAACTATTGTTGAATTTTGTCGATCTTGATGGCGAAGGCTCATGGCCTGAGTCCCAGTTCAACTGTTGTTGAACTTTGTCGATCTTGATGACGAAGGCTCATGGCCTGAGTCCCATATTGTGGGTATTGAGTGCTGAAGCTCGGTTTGGATTCGAGACCTTGAGCGGCTCATCCGTTGTCTTCCCAACCAGGGTTTATAGGCTGTCTTGAGGCGACTCTCGGCTCGAGATATCTCCGTGCCGGTTTCTGGCCGGAGCTCGTATCAGGGATGTGGGAGATGCCTTACAGAGACCTTCCCTTAGGAGGGGGGGAGGGGGGGGGGACTTCTTTTTGTTTGCACTATCTGAGATCGGAGAGATAGAGAGAGGACTTAGATCTTGATTTGAGATCTTCGAGTTCCATCGGCCTGATATGCCGCTTTGGCTTGTTTATGCAGGGTTGTTCTTCCTTTTCCGGTGTTTCTTTCCTTTTGGTCCATGGAAGAACTACGCGATTTTGCTATGAAATCCCCACAGACGGCGCCAAATTGTTTGCTCAAAAGTTATCATGTGCTTTATGAGTGCAAAACAATACAGATAAGTTACGGGAAAATCATAGCAAATCGTAATAATCCATTGGACCAAGCGAAGAACATGAAAATAAGTACTCAAGGTTAGGAGAAGAAATCTTAACAGCTTTTATTGATAATATTGGTTTGGTCTGCCTCTCCATGAAGAGGTTCAGAGCCTTACAATGGTGTTTTCTCTTCCCATAAGATGGGTATATTTTTCTCTTCTCTCTCTCTCTCTTATCCATAGTGGTGAAGAAGCAGCCCCCTTTCTAGGGCTTCCACTCTTAGTATTTATAGATGTGAGCTTCGTGAGCTGGCAATAAATGGCCGTGGCCACGCTGAGGTTCCGTCCCCATGGGGGAATGAATGAGCCGTGCCCTCGTAGATTAAATCGGACAAGAGTCGAATCCTTTTATGAATAAGTGGCCATACCACTTATTAATTATGGATTAGCTCAAGACGAGATTAACTCCGTTAATTACCGTGAGATCGGATTCTGACCCATACAACGGAGAAGAGCTAAAGAAAACCTATCGTTGCCTTTCCTTTTCCAATTATTCTAGTTGCAAATGGAATTAGCTAGGGAGAAAAAATAATTGTATAATTTGCCAGTCAATTTTGCAAACAGAAGCAAACAAATGATCAGAAGTGACATAGATGAAAAGGTCCATAAAGAAATCCGTGTTTATACCGTGTATCTAAAACCAGTGGTGGAAATACTTTTAATTAAGCAATATCATCTGCTACTGCTTTATCAGAAAGTTCCTTTCTAGAAGGTACAGTATTATGTAAATACAAGAATATCGACTGACAACGTTTGAAAATAATATAAAATAAATAATGATCACAGATTCAAATTACAAATACATCCAAATTTTCCTTGCAAATGTAAATAAGAAAAGTTGACGGATACCGCTTGCACAAAATTCAGCCAACGTCACTGTCAAAAACAACCGAATATGCTTCAAAATAAACCTCCCTCGCCAGAGGATTGGATAAAGCCTATGTCAAATTGAACTCATTTTCCCCAGCCTAATCCATGCCTTTACCTTTATTTAATTCTTATAACACGTTTCATGCCACCCACTAATGGCCCCTTTGTCCGTTTCTTCCCTTGGGGATCTAGATTTTTCTCGGTGAAGATAATTACTGTGCCTGACCAGGCCTAAAAGCGTTGATAACAAGAAATTTTCATTCTAGCTATTTCGCTGTTACACCTGCATTATTAATATCATTATCCAAATTATCTACTCTAATTTAAAATTTTGTGAAAATAACAATGGAAAAAATTCCAACAAAAAAAATTGTCGATGAACCTCATCATGGTTCACCTATTAACCACAATATCCTCTACCAAGATGTAAGAAACAAGTTAAAAAATCTGAAGACTGAGACAAACCTAGTGATGCTTAGGTTGACAAGGGAAATTGGAGCAGACTATGTGAAAAGACTTCTTCTTGATTCATACCCTCTCATTTGCTGTTATGATATGCTTGAGGAATTGCTCGCTGAGCAGGATGAAGATAACGATACTCCTGTTATTGTTATAAGCAGTGACACCGAAGCCGCCTCTAAGGCATCAAAATCTGTTAATCGAAAGACTGAGTAGAGTAAAAAGTTGATTTTTCAAGTGGTTTTGTTATGCATGCCATATTATTAGCATGGTATGCTAAAATTATCTTCCAATCTTTTACTCTACTCAGTCTTTTGATTAACAGATTTTGATGCCTTAGAGGCGGCTTCGGTGTCACTGCTTATAACGATAACAGGAGTATCGCTATCTTCATCCTGCTCAGCGAGCAATTCCTCAAGCATATCATAACAGCAAGTGAGAGGGTATGAATCAAGAAGAAGTCTTTTCACATAGTCCGCTCCAATTTCCCTTGTCAACCTAAGCATCAGTAGGTTTGTCTCAGTCTTCAGATTTTTTAACTTGTTTCTTACATCCTGGTGGAGGATGTTGTGGTTAATGGGTGAACCATGAAGAGGTTCATCGACAATTTTTTTTGTTGGGGTTCTTTACATTGTTATTTTCACAGAATTTTGAGTTAGAGTAGATAATTTGGATGATGATATTAATAATGTAGTTGTATTTATAGTATGGTTTGAATATCTCTAGGGTTAGGGTTATTAATTGTGTTCCCATTTACTTCTCTCTTATTTTAATTTGAATCACAATCTTCAATGAACCCTTTACACTTCTCAAAGAAGACTTTACATTCTTCAATGCATTCATTTCGTTTACCCAAAATTCTGTTCATGAACTCTTCATCCAACAAGTGAGAATATCTGGTTTGGATATGGTTTTCCAGTAAAAAAATTTCCAGTAAATTTTTTTCCTAATTTTCTATTACAATATTTTTTTCCAGTAAATATTTTTCCTAATTTTCTCTTCTCCATTCCAAAAGAATCGGAGAGATTGCCATATATTTATGTATTAATTATTTAGGTTACCAAAATATATTGATAACTACAATTCCCTTTTTTGAATCCCTATGTAATAACTATTCTCACGCTATTTAGCTTCTCAATGAAGCATTTATTATTTTCAACTGTTTTAGTAGTGTGTAGATAGAATTAGGTTGAATTGATTTATGTCTACAACTTGAAGAATTGATTTTAAAAATAAAAATAAAAATAGTCTTTGAAATTGATTTCATACGAAAGAAATGAAAATTGTTATAGCATAGAAGACCAATATAATGAAAGAAATTTGAAAACACAGTATTTCAACAAAAAATCATAAGCACCTTAAAGATGCGCCAACAACCAGAATCATCCAAAACAACAACCTAGCTTTATAATTGTTACTCTTGGTGGTAAAATTATTTTATGTAAAAAAGTAGGTAAATGATAAAATAAATTATTTAATAATAATAAAGGGTGAGAATGAGAGGAAAAAATAAGGTAACGACGCGACCACATCAAATCGATCGTTACATAAAGTGACACATTTCGTCGTTATGTAACGACGAATTTACCGATACGATACAATAAAATTTAAGTAATAATCAAAAATAAATATCGTATTTAAAGTAACAATTCAATACAACAGGTGACAACCATTCAAACAAGCTGTAAGAGTATTCTCTTTTTTCCCTTTTATATAATATTATTGATCAGATACAGGATTCGGAAATGTCACTTTATATAAGCGATTAAAATTTGAATAATTCCTGTAGAAAAAATAATGTCAAGCAATTAGACCAAAGGATACAAATGGAACTTCGGACAAACAAATTCCATTGGTTGCTGTATTTCATAAACGTCAATTATGTTGGATTACGTGCTATAAATACTTAACTCCAGAATCAACGTTTACCCACACTGCTAGCTAATTACTATTGTTTCTCAACATATATACATATAGCGCCTTCTAGAGTCTAGAGTACTATTTCCCTTGTGAAAATGGGATCACGATACGAAGTTGAAGTAAAGATAACTTCAGCCAACGATTTGAAGAACGTCAACTGGCGTTACGGTCCCCTGAAGCCGTACGCAGTTGTTTGGGTTGATCCCAACGCTAAATGCTCTACTAAAGTCGACGAAGACGGCGATACATCTCCTTACTGGAATGAAAAGCTCGTCGTCCATTTGAATTCTCCGATCGACGATTCCACCTTGTACGTCGACATCGTTCATGCGAACGCTGTCGAGGACACTAAGCCTCTCATCGGATCCGCTAAGCTTCCTCTTAGCAAGGTCGTCGATGATGTTGGCATAGGTGGTGAGCTGGAGTACACGCTCCAGCTCAAACGCCCTTCTGGTCGCCCTCAGGGAAAGGTACAAGTGGAGGTTAGTGTACGAGAGCCACGCTATCGTGCACCGGATGCGTATTATGCACCTCCGTACGGTGTCCCGCCCCCGTCGCAACCTTACGGCAGGGACTATGGTGCTCCGTACACTGCGCCTCCGTCTGGTTATCCTTACAGCGCCACAACTCCTCCTTACGGGCAGCCGGGAGGAAGCTACGGGCAGCCGGCATACGGGGAGGGAAGCTACGGGCAGCCATCTGGTGGATACGGTTACGAAGAGGAGAAAAAGAAGAGCAAGTTTGGGGGGATGGGGACAGGATTGGCTGTGGGTGCAGTAGCAGGGGTATTGGGTGGAGTGGCGTTGGTGGAAGGCGTCGACCTCTTGGAGGACAAAATCGCCGATGACGTGGCGGAGAAGGTGGAGGATGATCTCGCCGACGACGATGGTGACTACGGTGGAGATGACTTTTAGGAAATGTTCTTACAGTACTCTTTTGCCTAAGTTCCTTTTGGGTACTTTACTTTTCAATTTGCTAATATTCCAAGAGTATTTTTGACTCTATAACAGTACATTCTGATAATGAGTAGGAAAAAAAAAAACAAAAAAGGAGAAGGAAATAAATAAAGATTAACATGAAAGTAAAAGCCTAATGTTCGATGTAATGTACTGTTGTGAATGCATATATTATTATGTGTGCTGTATGTTTTAAGTAAGTGCTCTAAACTTGCTTTTGGCTTGGTTTTGGGAGTTTATCCTCGAAATAATTTAGAGAACAATACTCCCGGCCCTGTGATTATTAACTATTTCAAGGAAATTATCAGTTATCGTACTTCTATGAATTATTAGAATTTATTTATTTAGTAAAAACCAAAAGAAAAGTGACATTCAAATTCACCCTGTTAATCCGACGCGTACATTAACTTTATATTGATGTAATCTGAATTCTGTCAATTTTCTTGGATAAAAGCAATAGTTAATCATATGGAAGAATTAATTTGTATTTGTTATGAAACAATAAAAGAACAAGAGCAATATTGCAGAGAAAGAGAGAGGGAATTCTTATTGAATTTTGGGATGAATTACAATGGAATAGAACCCTCTATTTATAGGGAGAGGTTGACTTAGCCACCAAGTAATAAACCCTAGGATCTCTCTAAATATGGACATTCACCATAAATAGAATTCTATTTATAACACTCCCCCTGAATGTCTATTCAACAGATAATGTGCCTCGTTAAAACCTTAACTAAAAGAAAACCCAATGGGAAAAAAAATTCTAGAAAAGGAAAAAGAGTACACATGTTTAGAAATGCGCCTATTGGTTGCCTCGTTAAAAACCTTGCAAGGAAAACCCAGTGGACAAAACCTTGTAAGGGAAAAATAGTGCAACGCGCATTAACTCCCCCTGATGAGAGCATCAATTCACATCCTTGAGCCTTCGCATCCCAATCTTGTACACTAGCTTCTTGAAGGTTGAAGTTGGTAGAGATTTTGTGAACAAATCAGCCATATTATCACTTGAACGAATTTGTTGCACATTGATATCACCATTCTTTTGAAGATCATGTGTGAAAAATAACTTTGGTGAAATGTGCTTTGTCTTATCCCTTTTTATGAATCCTCCCTTCAATTGAGGGTAGTTTGTCACATTTCAAACCACATTTGTCTCGAATAAGATGTATTATAGACCTCAACCACACACAATCTCGACTTGCTTCATGAATAACAATTATCTCAGCATGATTAGATGGAAGTAGCCACAATTGATTGCTTAGTCGATCGCCAAGATATGACAGTGCCTCCACAGGTAAATACATAACCTGTTTGAGACCGAGCCTTGTGTGGGTCAGATAAATACCCAGCATCAGCATAACCAACAAGATCGGGACTGCAATTGTTGCCATAAAATAAGCCCATATCGGTAGTCCCTTTTAGATACCGCAATATGTGTTTGATCCCATTCCAATGTCTCCTTGTGGGAGACGAGCTATATCTTGCTAAGACATTAACTGAAAAAGTTATGTCAGGCCTTGTAGTATTGGCAAGATACATTAGTGCACCAATTGCACTAAGATATGGTACTTCAGGACCAAGTAGCTCTTCATTCTCTTCTTGAGGTCGGAATGGATCCTTGTTCACATCAAGTGATCGAACAATCATCGGAGTACTTAATGGATGTGCTCCATCCATGTAAAACTGTTTCTATACCTTTTCTATGTAGGCAGATTGATGAACAAAAATTTCGTTTGCAAAATGTTCAATTTGCAAACGAAGACATAATTTTGTCTTTTTTTAGACTTATCACATACTGCTATCACATTCTCTTAAGGGAATGAGAATGGAGCAAATTCAGTGGGACGGGTTTCCACTTTTTGTGCCCATAATCATACATGAATTTGATCATGGCAAGACATAGAAATTTTTACCACTTCAGATGGTTATAATTTCTTACAAACTCCATTAGAGTTATAATCAAACTTTGTTGTCTTTGCTTGTATATAACATCAAATTATAGAATTTCAAGAATTTAAAAGAGAAAAATAAAGTAAAATACTTACCTTAAATCCAGAATTTAATCATGAAGGAAGTTCATGGAATAATTGACAATCATTATGCTTAATCCCAAAGCTTCTACTCAATTGGTTAGAGTCTCGTGCTGATAACGTGTTATGAAACAATAAAAGAACAAGAGCAATATTGCAGAGAAAGAGAGAGAGGGAATTCTTATTGAATTTTGGGATGAATTACAATGGAATAGAACCCTCTATTTATAGGGAGAGGTTGACTTAGCCACCAAATAATAAACCCTAGGATCTCTCTAAATATGGACATTCACCATAAATAGAATTCTATATATAACAGTATTCACTTAAAAATATTTATTAGGTTAACAATTTATTCAAACACACGATGTTTTGAGACAATAGGTTATCTACCTAAACGTTTTTGGTCGTATAAGTGGTGAATCCCATAGTTTAGCATCTACTCGCACATAAGACAATATATATGCTAGGGACGTACATAGGTCGGGTTAGTTCGGATTTTCTAATTACCAAACCAAACCAATTCTATCGAGTTATTAAACTTAAAGACCAAACCAAACCAATAAAAGTCGGGTTTTTCAATCTCGATTTTTCTCGAGTTTTTCAGATTTTCGAGTTTTTTCGGTTTTTTTTTCATAAAGTCTTTATAGCACAAAATATAGAATTTGTGCTCCAAATATTTCTTTAATCCTAGTAAGATAGAACTATATAAGGTATTTTTCAATAAAATATCATAAATATGAGATGAGTCATGGCATCGTACTAAAATATTCAACAATAAAGATAATAAAATAGCATAAAATAAGTATTGTTAATAAGCCATAATGAAAATAAACATAATTTAAAATTACTAATAAGTTGCTAAAATAAGTACGACTAATAAGTACTATTATTTACATGACCAAACACTAAAAGAAAAATAAGTTATGCATTTTATCTAAACTACGGAAAAACTAAAAAATAAATATCCAACACTATTTTCATTCATAGTATAATTGAATTAAATGTCTTATATTAACATTAGTATTGATTTTATATTGGTTTCAGGTTTATTTGAGTTTTTTTTATGAACTATAAAACTTATTGGAGCATCCAAAAATTATAAGTCCAAGCTTGAAATAATACGTGAAAAGATAAAACTATAAAAAAGTTTAATAACTATTTATAAACTACACTACAATAAATATTTTTATGTATTAAATATATTTAAAACTTCTATACATATAATGTCGGGTTGGTTTGGTTTCAGTTTGACTTTTTTTAGTTAAACCCAAACCAAACCAAATACACGTGGTATTAGAGCGAGGTTCAAGACAGGTTCATCTTGGCGGGTTCAGTTCTAGCTGCAACATATTTGACGATAATCGTGATTTTTTGTCTGAGAAATTTGACCGGAGTGCTACGCACGTTGAGACAAACTTTGTGGCGGAGATCTGGAGATGCGACCTGTTGAAGGCTATGTGAAGAAGGTGGATCGAGTTTATTTTGTTAGAAAATTCAGGCCAAGGGGGAGATTGTTAGGTGTTTGCCATAATTTTCTTACCAATATTTGGTTTTCCTATCTCTTGAAGAAAAAGGACAATATAATTACCTTAACTGGGTTTTCCTTTTTGTAAAAGGAAATTATAAATCTCCTATATTTGGCTAGTCCTTTTTCTTGTAGGAAAAGGTTTGGTCTTCTATAAATTGAGGATCCTTCCTTCGCATTCAGTAGCATCCACAATGTAGCATAGGGGGCTTGAGAGTCTTGTTTAGGGGGAGAATTTTATGGGACAAGTGTTATGTGTCAGTTGTGTTTGCCTCTTCGTGAGGTTGTTCTCTCGAAATTTTGTACTCTCTTTTTATTATAGTGGATTGCTTATCTCCGTTGTGGACGTAGGTCAGTTGACCGAACCACGTTAAATGTTTGTGTCTCTTTTGGTAGATTTCTCTTTATTGTGGTTTATCGTCGTTCAAGGTTTGCTTTGCTAGCTTCCGCATGACACCTGCTTTTCCGGTCCTAACAAGAATTTGATCCGTTAAAGTTGGAATCTGCTCTAGAAAGGAAGTAGTTTTAAATCTAATTTTTCAAATGCTTCTTTGTAAAAATAAAGCTTTTCAGAGTTTTATACTATAAACATCTTAAAAGTATATCCATAACATAATTTTATAAATCATTTTTATTGTTTAACTTATGAGATTATCCTTAGACTATAACTTCACACTTTGATATGATATTGAAGCAAAGTGTTTCTTTGAAATGAAACCTGTATTTAGGGTTAAAGTTCGCTTAATAAGCTCCAAATTTAGGTTAATTAGCATTACTTCTGTATACGGTTGAAATCAGGTATGCCCGATTTACCGGATTCGAAGGATCGCTTTAAGCCCGAGTTCAGGAAAGGTCGAGCTCGAGCTCGATGGACCAGACTCGAGCTCGAAGACAGAGTGCAATGCCTGAAGATTGAAGTACGATTTATACCGAAGCCGAGTATGCTCGACCCCGAAATAATAACGTTATGACTTCGTAACAGAATGAGCGGGATTCCTGCCACGTCTCCAAAATCATGGCGCAAATCCCGGAATAGAATTGTACGATTCCGTACTAGGCGGTTAGACAGCTGTCCCAATAAGATTCCTTACTGTAAATAGGAATGTACCTTATTTAGGACTCCCCTATTATATAAAGGGGACCACAATCATTTGTAAGGATCATCCAATCATTGGCAAAGAATATACTATCTTATTTTTCTGGCACGTTGTTCATCAGACTTGTCTTTTCTCTTTATTGTTCTTGGTTCATCTCGAGGTCACTAAGCTCGAGACTGATACTGTTTGGTAACACTGGTTTGATTCATTCATTTCTTTCATCTATACTTTATACTTCTTGATTATTAATTGATATTGAACTAAATCACATATCTTTGAAACCACAAATCAAATTTAATTGTTACTCGTAATTTCGAGGTAAACAACTTCTTTCATAACTTGGACGAACTAAATACTTGTCAAAATTTCATGGATCCTAAAATGATGTAGTTTTCAGACTAAAATTACTAGTAAATTTAGTTTCTGCAACATAGCAATTCAGATTACAGTTTTTGAAGAAATGCTATAAGTAAAAATAGATGTCCTAACACAATATTTACTCTAACGACGACAAAGAATTAAGCAGATTTCAAGTCGGGCCATGAAGACCAAATTCACTAGTCCTGGTTGTTATTCCGTTTGTAAGTGTCAATTGTTTCACAGTAGCCATTTTAGAGCTGTTGTTTAAAACATAACCAGCATTTGTAATATATTTAAGATC